AGCAATAATAGGAAGGAACAAGGGGTTTTGCTGGTTGAGATAAGGATAGCTATACAGGGCATTGACTCACATTGATTTCCTGTGCGTGGGTGTTACCTTCTAGGTTAATTCTTTTTGATCTAACCTTTTCTCTAGTTCCTGGTCTCCTTTTCCTATTGGCCTCAGTTGCTTTAAGGTATCTGCTTTAGTTTCTCTGCATTAAGGGCAACAAATGCTAGCTAGTTTTTTAGGTGTCTTACCTATCCTCACCCCTCCCTTGTGTGCTCTCGCTTTTATCATGTGCTCACAGTCCAATCCCATTGTTGTGTTTGCCCTGGATCTAATGTCCACATATGAGGGAGAACATACGATTTTTGGTCTTTTGAGCCAGGCTAACCTCACTCAGAATGATGTTCTCCAATTCCATCCATTTACCAGCGAAAAACAGAAGCTCAATCAAACAATTTACGAGAAAGATCATTTTTCCTACTCTTTATTGCCTGCAGAAATGCTAGCGAAGCACAAATAAACAATAGACAGAGGTGGCACCAAGCAAAAGCTCCTGTGTAGACGAGGCTCTGGGAATCAGCTTTTAAATAAATAGCTGCTTGAAAGAGGTGCCCTGTGCAGTACCAGTTCAACTGCATCTTTGATATAATGCAGAGAATCCTAGCTCTAGTTCAGGCTTCTCTTCCAGATGACTAAGGATGCTGTGCTGATAATCAAACAGCTGCCTGGCAGAGTTTCGTGCTTTAAGGCGGGAAATGAAGTCTGCAGGACAGAAGATACGCCTGGCTTTATCGAGGAGGATGAAAACCAAGCCAGCAGAGAAGCAACAGGCAGTGATCTGCAATGCATCTGGCCTGCACGGGCTTCTCCTCAGATGCCAGTAGTGAAGCCGTGTGTAACCCAAGGGCTCCTTACAAGCATCTGGGGAGACACTGTCCCAGTTCGGTCACTTTGAACCACAGGGTCAAAGGATCCAGGCTGGGTCTGGAGCAGGTGTCTCCTGAATCCCCTTCCTGACCTAATGATAGCAAACACCTGTAACCCAATGCTTCCTGCTGGGTTCTACACTCAGTTTAGTCTTCTCCGTAATTCTGAGTGCTAAATATCAAAATCCCCATTTTACGTGGCAGGGACCTAGTTTAGGGGGATGAAGAGACCTCTGAGGCATGAGGGACCCAGCCCTCACAATGTCCCTGTGACCCTGAAACTGAGCAGGATTTGTTTCAAAATTCAGTCTTTGCTAAGGCCACTGCTGAAACAGTCATTGAAAGCAGGAAACAAACAAACAAACAAACAAACAGATTGTGGCACTAGGTAAATACCTTAAGGGGAAAATTATTTTGAAATATGTATCTTAGGAAGTCATAGATAATATTGACTTTTAAAATCCAGAATATTTGCCAAGTGGCTGCAAGTGACAGTGCTCTGCTTGGTGTCCAGGCCAGATGGAGTTTGGTGATCATTTATTGGGGTCCAACAAGAAATGACCTCAAGGCTCCAGGTCTTGACCTTGCTCACTGATTAAAGGGCAAATGTTGCTGTTTAGGAAAGATTTTATAATATTCCTCTCTACAATTTTTTTTTGAAGAGAAAAACTCAGGTCCAAATGTAGTTATAAAATGTATCAATTGTATTTTTCCTTCTGTAAAATTAAGGGGAATACTATTTAAATATAAAGAAAAGACTCTAAATATAAGAAAATATTTCAAATATTAATTGAAATATTTACTCTAGCAATACAGGTTTTAAACTTCCACTATTACAAAAGGGTATTTTTAATTAATAATAAATTCAATTAATTATGTTTAAAAATTCTGCTCAGTTTTCAAGCCCCCATTTTCAAATGAAGATTAAAAAGCTATGATGACCTTTGAGGAGTTCTGCGAAAGTCGCAAGGTACTTCCACATTTGTATCAGTAATAAAGTCCCAGTCACTTCCCAGACGGCCACATCACGCTTGCCTGCAGGAAATGTTTCCAAAGAGCCCAGCCACCATTGGTTTCAGGGCTGCCTAACTGGAAACTCACTGCTGCCGAATATGGTTGCTTAAAGTTGCGCCCATTTTATTCTTTGCAATTGGTCCTGAAGGAACTGACAGCGTCCAACATCTCATGAAAAACTACTACTGAGGCACATAGCAACTTAAACTAATTTAAATGCCACCTTCTTCCTGATCATTTAAAACATGTGTTATCTGAGCATCAGACTCTGCTGGGCACAGCTCGCCCACGGGTGCCAGGAACACAGCAGCATGTTAAAATCAATGCCATTGTGCGGCTTTGTCTCCCCATGGTCCAAGCTTCCCAGGGGAACCGGACACTCCCAGGCCTCCCAGCAAAGGCACAAGGTACAAGACAGGCAATGGATCCTCTGGATACAGACAGTGCCGAAAACCCATAAGGCCTCTGGTAAACCGGTGGCTTTCTGTAAGGTGAGCAAGAGTCTGTGCTTTTGTAGAGGTCTTCACTGTAGAAGTGACAAAAGAGTGAGTACTTGATTCTGCACAAGCCAAATCTCCCTTCACTGCACACTGCTACGAGGCACACTTGCATTTTATATTGTATTTAGAGAAATGCAGGTTAATGAGCTAGGAGTATTTTAGGACCTCTGGGGTATAAATTGATATAAGTGCTACGTAACTTTATTCTGCTTAAATGTGTTCTCACTGACCTTACCTGTCTAAGCAATCGTTTTTAACTTTTTAAGGCTCAATTTTATTTTTAAATTTGATTTTTAAGGTTCAGTTTTATTTAAAAATTTTTAATTATACCACATAATTAAAAGAACTTCCCCAAAATCCACTTTCTACGATGCTTGCTTTATTTTAAACATTACAATCTGATGAAAACACTTTAATATTATTATAGTTAAGGTGCGACTGTACACAAATTGTGACTATCTAAGAAACGACTAAAAAGAACTCTTCTTTGTGAACGAATTCGAGTGTCTAAAGCAGAGATTACTTCCAGAATTGGTAGTTTCAAGTAGAATTTTTTGGCAAGAAATAATTTGGCTTAAACACAGACCAGGTATGAAAAAGGAGTGGATGCTAGAACAGTATGTTTTAACTTTATGTGCCACCATGTAAGCACACATATTACGTTAAGCTGGATTGTTCTAAGGTCCCTCTATGTGAACACGTAGGGCAGGTATAGTGGCACCCTCTTGTAATCCCAGGTAATTCAGAGGTACAGATAAGGAGGATCATGGTTTGAGGTCAACCAGAGCAAAAGTTCAAGACACTATCTGAAAAATATTCTAAAGCAAAAAGGGCTGGGAGCGTGGGCAAGTGGTAGAGCACCTGCCTAACAAGCACAGGGCCCTGAGTTCGATCCCCAGTACTACCTAAAAACTAAAAAATAAACAAATACAGGTGAAATGTGTGGAGAAAGAGCAAGACCATGCTGACTCCCTGGTTATCAAGAAAGTCACCAGAGAGGGCGGGAAGTCGTGGGAAGATGTCAGGTAAAGATCTGATGCCAGAGAGCAAACTCATGCTGGACACTGACTTCCAGGAGGAAAAACCCGAAGGACGAAAGTCCAACTTTCCTTCTAGAACATGCCCTGTGATTCTCGCATCGCTGCTTGTGATCATCGCTTCTTGGTGAGGTTCCACCAGAGGAGTGACACGCTGGTCACTCACTGAGCACTTCAAATGGGGCTGGTTTTCAGCACCTCTTCTGATCACTTCTCTTGGCATTAGGTAATCACAGGCAAGTCAGGAAAAGGAGAGGGGGTGAAGACTTCCCAACAACCATTTCCAGACTCCCATCCCTCCTCCTCACCATGCACCCACAAAACTGGCCCTTTCCCCACCTGGTTAGCAGTGCTCTGAGGAACTCACACATCAGGAAGTCAGACCAACAGCTGCCTGGACGGCACATCTCATCCCATGTTCCATGAAGGTCCCTGCCAGTGCCTTTTGCAAGCTCTGTCTTGGGGGGCACAATCCACTAAGGCTCTGTGTCACTCAGCCTCTAGTGGACATGATTCAAGGACTCCTGGGTTCTGGGGTCCCACTCTGACCCCTTTTCTGACTCTAGGCAGTTGTTGGGGACATTGCTGTGCCACTGGCCTTCTGTTCCTAATGTCACTAAGTGCACCTGAGTAAGAGACTGGCCTCTTCAGCAGTGGCTCCATGCCATACACAGAGAATCAGAGAAGCAATGAGAAGAGAATCTTAAAGCAATAAGAAGTATGTCTTCTAAAAGAAAAGGTAGGTTTCTTTTAAAGGAAAAAAAGTCACCAGTCCTAATAAGACAAGCTTCTTGAATCTATCTCCACATTTATGTTACATTGCACAAGAATTTCTGGAAGTAAAATGTAAATAGTGCAAACTAAGTATTTGATCAAGTTGTCACGGTTATAGACACTGACAAGTGCAATTCCTATCTATTTCCATCTCATAAAGCCATCCTAGAAAATCTAATATCTCATGAAAACTGAAATGAGGAAGCCCACATGGAGCTCCACTCAACATAATTAATTTCCACAGACTAATCAATTCCATTATGAATGTAAACCTCACAAGACAAAACTGAAAATTCCATGACTTCAAACCCTTAGGTTAGAATTAAAATGCTTCACTTGCAAACTTGGTTTTTATGCTTAGAATAGATAAAATGCGAAAAGAAAGCAGGAGGTACTAAAAGCAACATTAACGAGTCCTAGAATGAAATGACCAAAAGACAATCAAACGTAAAGCTTATGGCTAGAGGAAAGAGTAAAGGAAAATAAATTGTTCAGCATCAGATTATTTCAATTAACACAATGCTCAAGAAAAAATATTTGGAGTATTGATTTGAATGTTCAGCCTCGAATCCCAATTGCAGAGCTAGAGGAAGCCAGTGTCCCCGTCAGAAATGTGTGCATCGTGGTGCATTGATACAAACCACCATTCAATCCTTCCTTACCATCAAGCTCAGTCACTGCTTGCCTCATTTTTTGGAGTATGACGAAAATAAAGATGATGCAAGGAGAGCAAGCTTAGGGGTAGAGAACACTTGTCTTACCCTGGCAGAGAGGTGCGAGGGAGTCCCACTGATACATGCCAACAGGGTCCCTCCGGCAGGTGGCATTGCTGTGGCCAATCATCCGATAACCAGGCTTGCAGAAGTAATGCACCGTGCTTCCCACTGCTCCTGTCGTCCTGTTGAACACCCCGCCGTTTCGCAGTGTGGGAGTCAGGCTGCAGTAAGGGGCTGTGGACACACAGACACGCCTGTGAATAAGTCAGTAGAAGCCAGCAAAGTGGGGCATCGCCCTTGGGAGGGGGACACAGATGCAGTGGCTCTAGTTTTTAAAAGTAGGAAATGAGCACTTAGCAGTAAGCTTGTTCCAAGAAGCATCCCAAAGACCTAGAGCCAAGAGTCCAGTCTCTCACTGTGAAGTCCAAGAGACCTGCAGCTGTGAGCCAGCGTGAGGCCAAATCCCGACTGCAGCATGGCCCCTGATGTGAGGGGGTCACTGAGCCCTTTCTCAGCGCGCTCAGGCTGATGACTCACAAATCCAGCCTATCCATCACCCGCACAAGAAATGGTAGCTACCTACTGCTCAACGCACCATGTTTGCAACAAAAACTTACCCTACGGTTTTTAGAAAATTATTAAAATAAAGAGTATTGGAGAATATAAACTTTTTTCCATCGAGACAATTAACCTTTTCCTTGTTTAGTGGACTTTGTGGGTTGTAGGATGATTTAGATTTTAACTTTCTTTTTCAACATGTGAAACTTGAGTAAAATCTTCAAAGAAAATGTACTACTTCAGGGGAATAAAAATCTTACAATAGCATTAATCACCCTTTTGTAGGAAGACTTTTTAACTGTGAGGTAATCTTACCCACACAGGTTACAACTTTTCAATGGCCAAAAGGCTCTGCATGTTATTCACACATTTAGAGAAAGAAACTTATTTTATCCTTGCAAGGCTAGTCCCTTGAAGCATGAAATCCTTTACACTCCTCCAAATAAACCAAAACAGTAACAGAGGAGGTTAAACAGAGAACTCTTGGCTCCTTCTGAAAGATGTTTTAGATATCCCACTTCCCCATGGGGCATCCATGGATTAAGCACACACGTGTGGTCTGTGGGTTTCCAGGGAAAGGTGCACCTTTCATTAGTAACAGAAGATGTTTTCTGGGGAGTCCCACTGCACTGGGACACATATCATTTGGCCCCCATGGTCAGCGAGGTTCCAGGCAAGGCACCCTTCATGGCTGTGCTTAGCTGGTCAGCCCCTGAAGTGTATTTCAACTCTGTATGATGGCCTGACTTTTATTATAGGAAAAGCCACAGACTGTCATAGGAAGCTTTTACTTCCTTGTTCTACTATCCATGCATTTTCCAATTTCCTGTTGTTTTAGACAAAGTCTTGTAAACTTTGAATGAACCAAAATGCTCAGGTTAGGAAGAGCGTGAGAGCAACCAGAGGTGGGAAAGGAATGTTCAGGACACCCAGGCAGGTCCAGTGAGATAACAAGTTCTGGGGCGCCGTCATAGCTTATGGTGTCACACAGTCTATTAGGGGATGGACTCAGAGGCATGACAGCCTAGCTTGACTTGGACAGCTGCTCCTCTCGGTCCTGTTTCTCTCCCATCACCAGGTTCTCCAGCTGACCTCTTCTTACACTCCCCTAGAAGTATATATGGCAGGCACTTGGGGAACAGAGGACACAGGAGAGAGGCATGCATGACCTCAAGCTGCCCACTGATTGCTGGCTACCTGAAGAGAATCAAGATGTCCAGCCTCACAGTGCTGCAATCCTGGGAAAAGTAGGGTGTAGAGTGGGGACATGCATGCAGGTATTGAGGTTTATGGAAGGACACCAGCCCCATCTGTGTCATTCACTGGCCTGGTGTGACCGCAGCTGCACAGGGGGAGTTTATTCACTGCCAGCCACCACAAGTCAGGTCCTTGCCTTGTGGGTCTGCTCCCTCCTTACCCAGGTTTGATGATCACCTATATTGTGCTTGTGTCCGAATGCTCAGTGACTTGAGTATGTAAAGCAAGGGCAGCTGGCAACGCAGGGTGTCGCCCTGTGGCCGTCCTGGGCTGGAGCTCCCTAGAGCGCATTTAATATCTTGGGGACACTTTCATTTAGTCATTGCTCTAAAACTGCTGGGGACAAACTCCTAACAGATCACAGAATCGATGAAGTTTAAGTGAAAATCTTCGTATATCTGAGTGTATATATCTCACAGAGCTTATCTATATTCATATATTATATACACATATACACACATAAGGGCAAAACATGAAATTTTATAGCCTTCTTCTGATACAGTTAAATAGAGGATCTTATTATATAATGAATGAAAATATCCTTCGAAAGGCAGAGGTTATTGCTTAAGGAATTATCATGTCAGCAGAATAGTAAGTCATTTGCCACAGATCAAACAAGATAAATTACATTCACCATGGTTTCCTCCACACTGACCATTTCCACACATTGGAAATAAATTCCAGCAGTTTGAAAAGTCTGATTATTCATCTGTTTTGCAGGACAAGGATTCTGAAGGACGTAAATCCCTTCGTTACTCTAGGGCTCTCTGAAGCAGAGGTCCCGGTGGATTTTGTTACATGTTCCACAGGAAGACCGCCTGAACATCAAGCCCTTTGCTCTCATGTCCAGAGCCTTTGCAAAGCCTGACTGCTCGCTAGGTTTCGTGATGTCTCCCTACTAGAGTGAGCTGGAACCTTATCTTCAAACTCCCAAGACCAAGATGGGCCCTGAACACCAGCCGAAGAACAGGCAAACCTCTGCCTCTTACTGTCACAATGGCGTCTTTCCTAAGGAAAGGCATCTCAGGAGTGGACACAGGTATGTTGACTAGGAGATGAGAAAGTTTAGATAGCTTTGCTTTGTTACTAAAGGACTCAGAAGGGTCTCCCTATTGGTATAGGATGAGGTAAAAACTGGTGTAGATTACATTGGATTGGTTAAGCATTGACTGACTTAATAATTTGCTGAATAATTTAATAACTATAGATAACACTGACTAACGATGATGAAAGTATATGGAAATGGGTTAAATAATTGACATTTTGATATGGAAATGCATATACAAACTATTATGCTTTTTGTATATGCTTATACAAAATATAGACTGCTAATATATGAAGTATATGCCTACATAAGGATGAAGAGACAGTCAGACAGATAAAACAATGTACTATTACTAGGAGATTACCACTTATTTAATTATTGACTATAGAATCTCCTGATTACTCCCTCAACATTTAAATGTATTAATATTAATTTTGATCATATTATTTTATCTTTTTGGAATTATCTTTGTTGTTGATGGTATGCAATTCAAAGGTTTATCATTCTCACAATAATTTTTAAAATAGTAACCAACAAATTTGGTAACAGAGCATGGAGCCCTATCACAGGGTAACTTCCCATCAAAGTTTTTCTCTGCAGTTAGTAAGAATGAGAAGTTGAATCTGAATTATAGTCTCCATTTAAAAGAGAAAATTTTTTTCCTTGCAGTACTGGGGACTGACCTTGGCCTCATGCTTGCAAAAGCTGTATTGCCTGCACCAAACCCCAGCCCTTTCTGCTTTTCAGATAAGAAGTCCCAGGGCTGGTCTTGAAAAGAAATCGTCATGTCTCTGCCTTCCAAAGAGTTGGGATTACATGCATGTATCGCCATACCTGGTTTATTTAGATGAAGATGGCTTGCATTGAAAACAGTTCCATATTAAGTCTCAATGTGATTTCCGTACCTGCGTAACGAATCCTGAATCCTTTTTTGCTGGTTGCGTGGTCAGTGGACCAGCGGAGGTATAGCTGATTACCCTTGCTGGTGAAATTTGACTGTTCAGTGTGGTTCCCACTTAAGATAACTAACAATGGACTTTGCCCGGAAGAACCTAAATGAAACAGAAGAACAAACCAGTTCACATATGAGTTAACCTCTACAAAACTGCTTTTAGCTCCTGATTCAGTTGGTGTCCCTCTCTCTCTATATATTATACACAGCTATTAGTTCTAAAGTGGAAAAAGAATCCCAAATTATCATAGCAACAAATACATTCCTTGATAAAAATAAAAGCAACCTGGAAAAAAATCTCGGTGCATATGCTATTAATTGCAAACTGTAGTAACTCAAGTATTTAAAGTGGCTTTGTCATTAGTGTCCCCATATTGTGGGGTCATAGAACCTGGATATTTCTCTGCAGTCCTGTGGAAGTGGAAGTTGAGGTAATGACCTGGGGAATAACTAGTAAAACCAAAGATTTAATTATATTTCTATAAACCAGTACATGTGCCTACATGCCACTTATATAGAAAAAATATGTGTTCCAACTTAATTTCTCAAGGTAAAGTTTGGACCACAAATAGCAGTTTGGAGTTTTAAGAAGTCCTGTAAATTCCACAAAAATAAGTTTGTAATGCATTGAAAATTAATAGTATAAACATGGATCTGCACAAGCAAGTCCAAGAATGGCACACTGATGTCTAAAATATCCATTCAGATAAACATCACTGAAACTTTCTAAAAATTCAAAAGTATTCAGTATATCAAGTGTGTGTGTAGACAGATGATGCCTAGGTGGATAGATAAAGAATAAATTACATAATAAACAGGTAAAGCAGTGATCCACACAGACTTGGCCCTGCAGGAGAATCACAAAGGGACTTATGTATGGCTGGAGACTCTAAATTGATCGGTGTGCTTTGCTTCTTTATAAGAGCAGGACCCAAGTAAATTTGAAAAAATATCCTAAAATTCATTTTTATTTTTATTATTTCTGTATATTTGAATTGTTTTCAAAATTTAAAGAAACAAAGTTATTAAGTGCATAGTTAACACAAGGGCCAACTAGAGTCACTGTCTTGTCCACAGCCCACGTCACTTACTGGGAGAAATGTCCCCGTTGGATGTAGAACTTGGGGGCACTTCCAGGTCCATTGGTGGACTCAGCGCCATCTCCTTGTCTTAAAAGTGTCCCTGACTTTGTATTTTGCGCAGTTCACTCCCAGGAAACATTACAGGATGTGGTTCTTGTTGTAATTCATAATAAAAATGTCATCAGGGAAAGTGCCACCAATCTTTGAGAGTGATACATAGAATTTTTATTCATGCAACGATATTTAGAAATCACAACTGTATCTGCTGCATAACTCTCAAAGCTTTTGTAGTGATTTTCCCAAATAAAACTGTTAAAGGCTCCGTTGTATTCTACGTCTCCAGCAGAATGGTGTCGTCCTACAACGTGACTGTGTTTGGATATTTGGCCTTTACGAAAGAGTTAAAGTAGTTTGCAAGGGTGGGCCCTGATCCAGTCTCACTGGTGTCCTTACAGGAAGTGGAGGGATGACTACGTGGGGAGCCAGGGAGAAGGAGGCATCCACAAGCCAGAGAGAGAGATCTCAAAGAAACCAGCCCTGCCCACTCCTAGGAATTCCATCCTCTAGGTCTGTGAGGAATAAATTTCTGTTGCTTACACCACCCGGTTGGTGGTGACTTGTTATGGTGGCCTCAGGAAACACCTACGGAAAACTAGCACCAGCCTAAATCAGCCAATTAGGTTGGTGCTGAGGGTCCTCAGGAATGATTCTTCTCTGGTTGTGAAGACACAAGTGTCCTGACAGACAGGCAGATGCCTGCCAAAGGATGACTGTGCTTCACAACCACAGAAGGCAGAGGTGTGGGCTGGGGGTGAGGGTGCAGTGTGGCTGTTTAGAGACATCATGTATCTTCTGAAATAAAACACCACTGGGAAATTAATTGACCTGAACTTAGGGTATTTTGCGCTGTCATTTCATGGCAGGATGCAGGTGTGAAGTTTCGGGTGCCGTTAATTCCACACCATTACTCATCCCATCCCATCTGTTCTCCCTGCCTGAAATGCAGCGAACGTCCCAGGCCAGTTTCAAAGTGTGTCTGGTAAAGGAAAGAGCCACACTGTCACTGGCAAGCATTTTAGCAGTGTACCATATTGTTATTTTTGCTCGAATAAGTCCTCTGATGATCCAAACCCTATTTTTAAAAACTGGGGGCGATCCAAGCTTGAGCCACAGAGAGTAATACATTTCTGGGCTGATGAAGTTGTAAAATCAATATACTCAGCCTATTTTCTGGTCAGCTCATGGACTATAAAAAAGCCCCTGTGTTACCAAAGAAGAGACGAACAGGATATTTGTCGCAATAAAAATGTCATCACTTAAAAGCTTTATTCATATCAAGCTCTGACCTTTCATTTAGTAGGAAAATCTTTGAGAGTAGAACAATGCCAGCTGTAGAACTGTGATCGTTTTGACAGAGACCATTAGGTTACTGTCTCTATGGTATACCTTGACCACAGGCATGGTCTGTGCATATTTTGGGGAGACCAGAGAGCAAGCAATCAGTACATAAATTATGGATAAGGATTTTGCTCTTTGATGTGAAACAAGATAGCAAGCATAAATTCAACATAATTATTTACATATATTCAATTCTATATGGTATGTATAGAACACGTGTATACGTGTGTGCAAACATGCATGCAGACACACATGGTCTGTACAGGTGCTGTTTCCCTCTCTATATTTTTGTGACATCTAATAGGCCACAGGATTGTGTTACCTCACTTCTGCCACCACAAACAAACCCCAATTTTGCACTGAGCTAGTGAATTACTTCCTGCACTCAAAAGACTGAGGGAAAAGTCTTCATGAACACATGTCTGGAGATGCAGGCGCAGCTCAAGCGATACTGCACCTGTCTAGCAAACTTGAAGCCCTGAGTTCAAACCTCAGTACCACCAAAAATAAATAAATAAAGATGCACATCTCTTTGGAATTACACTTTTAAGAAACACTGTAAAAATAGGGGATTGTTCTCCAGTCCTCTGTTTCTATATCTAAAATGTGAGTTTCATTTCAAATTTAGTAGAAATAGGTGAAATGATTCATGTGACCTATCCATATGCACAATTTGACATTCATGGTTCATCAGGTCACAGAGTGAATACAAACCACAAAGAACCAATTAGACTTATTTATGCTTTTCCACTGAATTGACTGTGATTTATCTGAACTGAATAATCACTCTGTCAAAACATGAGAAAATCCTATTATTATGTTCCCTAATTGTATCCTGGTCCATTTTCTGGGCCGTGATGATGCATCTATACAAAGAAAAATAATATCGTCTGCTCCTTGTCAAACTGACAGTCCAACTACGTGCCCTGCTGTACTGAAATGCTCGCTACAATTTTCTAAAAATCTTAAGACTAGATAATAGTCTTACTATTATAATAAACTGAACTTTATTATTATTAGAAAAAAAAAAAAACAAGCCTGTGGCTGGAGGCAAGGCTCAAGTGGTAGAGCATGTGCCCAGCAATTGCAAGGCCCTGAGTTCAAACCCCAGTACTTCAAACAATAATGATAAACCATAGACCCACCCGTAGCGTTTCCCATCGGGAGTCTCTGTGAGTCATTACTGTCATGTACATCTAGTAAAGCAATCACTGACAGTGATTAAAACACTACTGGGCGTCTTATTTTTCCTATATTACTTTGTGAATCAATACAGTCACTGGGAAAGACAGGATGGGTTTTGTGAGCTCCCCACATGAAGGACTGGTTAAAAACTCACATTCATAGTGTTCTTCCTTTTTAAAAAATTGCAGTGTCAACTGCAGTACGGTGGTACGTTAAGACCACCTGATCTGTAAGAATGTGCAAGTAACCCCCTGCGTTTTCTTCTGTTTGGTTTGGGAAGATGCAATTTAACTCGAGAACATGTCCAAGTCATGGTGTCTGATGGGTGACCTGTAGGTCGCTGCTGTACAGAGACTGGAGAAACTCACCATCAAATATTTCCAGTGTGTCGAATTGCTTCTCACTTTGGAATGTGTCCACAAAGATAGTAATGTTAAAGTGTGGCTCCACTTTAACACTCCAGGAGCAGGTCTGGGAGTTAAAGTAGTTGCCTGGGTACCCTGGACTGAGGATGACTCCAGAAGATGCGGTCCGGACTTCATTTGCGGGGCACTGGGCTGAAGAGAGAGGCACAAGTAAAGGTTTGCTTCAACAAAACTGAGTCCAGCTTCCACAGGAGGCTTTCTACCCATGGTGTGCACAGCCGTTGGAAAGAAAAGGCTGTCTCCCTGAGCTCTAAATTTAGTACAGGATCAAACAGTGGAAGAACAACACTAACAGTGGGCAATGGGTGTCGTCCATTTTGCGGGGGTGTGCACCAAGCCCGCACACACCACCCCCACCCTAAACCTTTTCCCAACAAGACCAAAATAAGACCTCCCTGCTCCAATATTTTATGACAAAAAGGTGGTGATTCTTTGACAAAATAAAAACCTTATTTATTCTGGCTTTGATGTATATGCATGGCTATGGGATGGAATGAATCAGACAGATGTGGCCTGGCACCCACTTTGGACCGCACAGTTTCCTACGGCGTGCAGCAGGACTCATGACTCCTAAGGGAGGAATTTCTGAGTGGATTGCTAAGGTATTGTGGATATGGTGACACACTCTTCTCCTGCTTTGTTTTTTCCTTATTCAGTGACTTCCAGGTTAATTAAAATAAAGATAATTTGCACGAGTATGAGTGTGCAAAAGGGAGTCACCAGTAAGAGCTCCCTAAATAGTCATTCCCCTCAATGTTAACCCAAGCTACATTCCAGAAATACTTGGATCATGGATCTATTAAGAGAAAACTGTTTGTGTTATTGGTAATGACATATAACCAGACAAAGATAAGCCAAAACTATTTATTGTGTTTAAAAAGCTCAGTAAATAACTTTTTTTCCTCAATGAAAATGAACTTTTGTCAAAAGAAAAATATCTTATTATTGAGTTATTTTCTTTTAATGAGATAACTTTCATATTATTTACACATGCACTACAAAATAATGACACTTCTCAAACAGATGAAAAGGTCTTTTTCAAGTAACTATGAAAAAGGGGTTTTTCATATTTTTTCCATTTATTTTGGTAATGTACTTGAAATGTACCTTAAAATCTAGAAAATGTTTAGACAAAAAAACACCAGTGATGAAACTTATCACAGATCCCTTTAACTAAACATGCATTTTAGGTCAGTCTCCTAAAATATTTACAACACTAACTAGTGTTAAGGCAACTGAGAATAATTCTAACCAGAACTCACAGATTAAAAGCCTCAGTTAAAAATATGACTCTCTTTAGTGATGCTTGTGAGAGTCTAGGTGCTAGTCCAGGCAGGCACCTTCGAGGTCAACTCCTGCATTAACACGACTGCAGAACTGTTCTTTCTTTTTTATTTCAACTAAAACTCTTGGAGGAAACTTGCAGAGACAGCCAAAGTCACCTAGGCAGTCACTCTGACTTGTTCTTTCAAGCAACTAGATTCGACATGGCTCCTTATAATATTGAACTGAGCATTCCCAGAAGTGTTGGAGTCAGCCATTCCAGTCCTTTGAACATGTGCTACATGACCTTGACCTGAGCACACCCAGAAATGTGTCCCCCACATTTCCTTCTTGACTGTGACCTTACACTGGGCATGCTCAGGCTAAAGTGCTTCATTCCACGTATGTGTATGTTCCCAGAACAAAACACCCATGCTTCGGTCCTGGAGACAGCACTGCTTGAAATAACCCAGTGCTTCCTTACCTGCTACGGGTAACAAATTGTTCTCCACCTTTTGTCTCCTAGGTGTGCTTTTTGGCTTAGCACTCACCAAGACCAGAGCCCATTCATTTGGTTTCAAAACTACTCTGCAAACTATATTATGCCCACTCCAAAGTGGATAGTTTGATATTTTCAAAAGAACACAGGCACATAAGTCAGAGTTGGTATCTGTGCACGCCTGAGAGGGTTCTGGAAGTCCTACAGCTCTGTATCCACGTTGCAGTGAGAGACAAAAGTCTTCCTGGCTCTGCTGTAAGCAGAGGGCCATAACAGCCACCCCTCAGGGTCACAAGGAGGCCCAGCAGCTGCAAATGTCCTTCTTAAACAGATGACATACTTGAGCATAGGTGTTTTAGAGACAGTCACGTGTAAAGCCTTTTCCCCACACAAAGGTGCAGGGGGGCGCATTTGGTTCTGTGGATTACACTGCACTGCCTGTCTCTCTGCCCTGTCTGCCAGTGTACTTTACGACTGAAGCTGGAGTTAATAAATGACTCTGGCTTCAGACCACATGGAAATAGAAAACTGTCCACTGAGGTGCTGCAAGCCACCTGCGAATCCCAGCAGGGGACAGGACTGCTGTTCCGGGTGAGAAGTGGCTGGTGGCATGACCTTTTTACTCCTGCGTTTCTTCAAATGCTATTTTTGTTTTTCAGAGGAGATGAAATGAAAATACAAGTGACACCATGGGTGTCATGTCTCCTGCCACATTTAACACCACTGTTGAGGCGACTTTCTGCTTTACAACCACATTTGAGCGTTTCCCCATGAGCTGGTGTTCCTGTCTCCCTCTGCCTGGCCTCCTGCTGGTTGGCAGGAAACTGCTCCTTCATGCTCGCTGCTCTGACCGCTTGCCAAGAGCAACCCGACCAGAGTGGGAACTCCACATGTCCCCTCTCCTCTGCAGAGTCACACGTTTCTCCAGCAGCAAGCACGTGTTAAAAACCCACTGCCCTCCAAGGTGCACAGAGTGCCTGTCCAGGACCCCATCAGACACCCCAGAAAGATGCTTGCCTCTAGGACACGCACCTGTGCCCGAGCCCTCAGCCCTCGTTGAAGAAAAATCAAATGCAAGGCTTATGATAGACATGAAACTCACTGTTTAATGCGTCTTGCAGGCCTTGGCCAAAGTAACATGGGATTAAGATAAGTACTATAGGATCAGGAACATGTGAGGATTTCCAGTAATTAGGATTTATTCTTAAAAGAACCAGTAGGTCTGAGGGAATTGTGAAAACAGACTTTTCTGTAGACAGGCGGTCAGCACTGACACCTGGAGCCCTGCAGTGTGGGCAGCCACACACCACACTGGTGCGATGCCTCACTGTGTTTAAGGATGGACATCAGACCTCACTTCAGTAAACGGCTTCATCTGGAGAGGCAAGCTCCTTGTTTTTAAGAGTGGTGTAGGAATGGGGTAAGACTACTTTTGTTAAAAGTCCTCCATCCTGGGAAACTTAAATAGGGATCAAAATGTACTTTACAAATGGGAACGTCTGCCTGTTCATTTTTATTCAAAATGCAAATATTATTGATCCTCCCATCTTGACACACACACAAAATAAATCCAGAAGTAGATCATGGGTGCTAGGGTGATATGATATGGACAGATTCTTTTCTAGGAAAATGACTCTGGTCTCCTGACTTCACCCAGGGTGACCCCTGACTTCGAAGAGGAGAGAGGAGGAGGCTTGGGTTCACTGACTTACACCTCATTGTCCCGGGAACACTGAGCAAGTGCAGACCCAGGGGCAGCCCCTCCAGAGTGGGGTCCCCATACCCACCGGCTCATGCCGTGCAAATTTTAAGTTATATTTTTTAAGGACTTAGCTAAATTACTGTGATATTCACTTGTCATTAGTTCCAAACTGCATGCTAACTTTTTTCAGATGTTGGAAACTTCTCTTGCAGCGAGTAGGCTGCTGTCGTGTGTGATTACACACAGTATTCTGAGGCGTCCAGAGAAAATCCATCCACAGGAAGGCGCACTCACAAAATCACTGTGAAATCCAAACTTTACCAATGCAAAGAAGAGTGCCTTTTATAGGGTAGACAATTGGCATTATAAAACACTCAAAATGATAATTCAGTTATTAATCACTGAGTCCTTACAACAACTTCAGTGATAGGCAGATAATATGTTCTCCTTATGCCTGAGGGACAGGGGACTTAGTGACTGTCCACAGTCACTGTAGGCCCAGGCTCTGGGTTTCCACCTTCTACATCTTGGGTGCATTCAGCTGCTTCTGTCTCCCTAGTAAGTGATAATGTTTGGGTTCCTAGAAAGGGACAGTCCCATTGCTCAAGGCACTGCATCTGCATCGTGATTTTTTAAATTTAATTTGAAATTTTTTGATAGTGAGTTGATGATATCTCTGACTAACTCAGGCTGTTTGAACTGATCTGCTGCTGTCTGGTGTTTTCCTTCCAGTTGTTGCTGGAAGTGCGGCCTATTGAATGATGTTTTTAAAATGATCTAATTGGACTGTAGCCCATCGAATCAATTGAGTCATTCTAAAACCTTGTTCTATTATTGTAGATTATCTAAGATCTTTGATATAGTTGATTTATTTTCAAGATAGTTTTTACATCTCATGATATAAAAATCACGAGATCAGTGCATTTTGGTTTTTTATAGGTTGTACATCATAAAATTTAGACAGCAGCTAATTATGCCCATTCAGAAGTAGTGACAGGGAATTCTCATGACAAACAAACTTTGCCTTAAAAGTACCCAAAATATGAGACAGAGTAGTGGACGGATGGGAAGAATTCAGAGATAGACAGGTAGCGAAGGGAGAGCAGTGAGCATTCATGGTGGAGCTCATGGTGGTACCAGGTTTGGCTTTCTTACTCATCCTAGGCTGCATGCATGGCTTAAGCGGTAGTGCCCCTTCCTCGAGAGTATGAAGTACTGAGTTCACACCCCATTACTGTCAAATAAGTAAATAATTGTAATAATTTCAGCTTTGCAATATGTTTGAACACTTTCATTAAAAATCATCAGATACTTCTGTTTTCATTGCACAGATGGATTTCATGGCACAGATGGGTTAAATTCAAACCACCCAGACAAAGATTTTCAGAGTAATGGGGACAGTGGCGTCCAGCGCACATACCTTCACAGGCTGGGGGAGAGCCTTCGAACTGCAGCTGGGAGCTGAGTTTGCAGGTCAGCGTGTCACTCCCTGACATGGTATACCCAGGGTGGCACTGGTACTTCACAAAGTCTCCTGAAAGAGTTAACCCAATATCTTGGGAAAGTATTTCTTGGACATTCAGCATGTGTGATTACAGTCAACATCTGTGACCAGGATGCATTATACCAATGTGCAGACTATCTCAGAACCCACGTCTCCATTCAGTGTTATGCTGCTTTAAAAAGTATCACTTTTAATTCTCAATTTACAAACATGTCATCTTAAGCTTAACCAATGTTCATAAGGAAATGCTGTGACAATTTCCTTCCCTGACAAATGTTTGTTCTGTGTCCCCAAAGACTATAAAAATAAATAAGTGAAGTGCAATGAATACCTAGGCCTTAAGCAAGACTGAGTGGTATGACAGAATGGCTGTAGAATGACCAGACGGGCTTTCTCGTGACCCTGACCCAATGAGTAGTGTTCCAATTAACTGGGCCATTATGAGCAGAATAGAAATTGGGTCACAGTTTGACCAGAAGTCTGAAACACGGTGTGACAACAGAATGAAGTGTGCTCAACCGGGACTGAGAAATCCTGGGTCGCAATTATTTTGCTGCAGACACATGCAAGGGCTTCTTTGTTAATATGACCAGATGGTTATCTAGTAAACTGGGCCACGGATATAGGAAGATAAAGCAGAATTTCTAAAGATGATCACTAACTACATGTTACCAATTACTTTTTACTGTCAATGAAGGTCGATGTTAGTCATCATGGTTAGAGCTACAAATTATTAAGCTCCTTCTCAAGTGTGTTAAAATTGATCCCTTATTAAACCATGTATCTGCTGAAGCCTGCCTGTGAAAAACTTTGTTCAAAACAAAAGGACAAGTAATGTCATAGAGGGAAAAAAAATGCTCAAAATGACAAGAGCAAAATTAAAGTGGCAGAACAAATAAAAATTACAGAAATGAACACAGAAAACCATCTTCTTTTTGACCTGTGATCTCTGCACAGGCCCCAGCAATGTTTTGGGATAGTTATTTGCAGACAAGTTTCCCATTCGCCAGTCTGAGTCCCACTGCCATAACAGGTGGGTATAAAAGGACAAAATCCCATGCCATGTCACAGAGGAAGTCTTACCTATTTCAAAGTCCTCGTCCTCAGCAAGCAGGTCGGCCTGGGGGACTGTGGGAGGAGGTGGGCACCTCTTCAGCTGAAATGCTAACCATTCATGAAAAACAAAATCATAATTGCAGACACTATGAACCAAAACATCTGTGGTAAAAATCATTGCTTTGTGACATTCTCAAGCTCCAAAGCCCACATAATCACCCAATGTGAAGTCATAGCTAAAGCCCAAAGACAGTGGGCAATTGAAAGAATGATGACATTTAAATCAACTCACTTTACGCATTTGTAAATGTACAAGAGAAATGGTCCAAACATAGCCTGACTCCAACTCCAATTTTAGATTGGTACAGTCCCATCTGTTTTCTGTCCTGAGGAGTCACCTGGGTACCCCAGGTGGGAGAAAGGGACTGTGCACTTTTGCCAGACCATTCAGAGCTCACTCTCAATATCAGTGAGTTTGCATTTGTCCCACTGGTTGTTCTGTGACACTATTCCAAAAGATACAGGGACACATAAACCCGAGAATTCCCAATATAGGTTCATGGTCTCCACACCAGTTTCATTATATTTATCTTGGAATGAGTTCCTGCTTGCTATAAAACATGACCTGATGACATGTGGGATAATAATAGGGATTTCACTAAACCCAAAGGGATCCAGGACAGGACAACCCTAAGAGGCCCTCAGATGGCCGTCAAGAGACTGGCGTTGGAAACAGATGTGGGTCCGCAACTGCAGGAAACAGCTGCTGGAGTTCTCTGCCAGGAGTATAGGATGGAAATAAACTGACCATGAAAATTGAGGACAAAGAAGCCTCCATTGGAAAAGTCGCTGTGGAACTTGATCAGGACCTGGTTGGTAGAACTGTAAGCCGTTTCCAGTGCCGTGTTTCCACTGAAGACCCCGAGCTGAGGTGAATTCTGGTCAGGACCATCCCTAGGAAATACAGACAGTGCAGTTGGCCAAGAAGTTCTGTGTCACAGCCGAAATCCACAAGGCCTTCTCCTGAGAGCTGACCTTCTCCTGGCCTGACCTGGACCTCCAGGCTCTAGGTGCTCAGAGGCAGGCAGCCGCCCCTGCTTTCTCTAGGGACTGCCAAGCTGTTCAGCCACCTTTCAAATTCCCACGTTTTAAAGTCCAAATGAAATGATGTCTATTTCACTACAGTGTGATTATGGCAACTTTTAAAAATGAATTCAAACTGCTCCTAAAAAGCAGGAAAGTACCACCTTCCCTGGATGCTAAGTTTGAAATTACAAAGTTGAAGGCACTGGGCTCTCTACTTCTTTCCCTGGCATCAACCTTCATCCACTGCTGAGACCATGACCCTGTTTTCTCCATGCATGGCCTCCTCCCTGTGAGCTTTGGCTGTGTTCTGCTTTGGGAATGACTGACGCTGATTCTCCTCATTCTCAAGCCCGCTGGGTCCAGTCTTCATCACCTCCTTCCAGCCTCTTAGGCTTCCTGCACCCTCTGCCACTGTATATCCCAAACTGAGCCACTCGTTCTGCAAACAGAGCCTGGCCTCACATCTGTCCTCACTGTCCTTAGAACAGGTCCTCCGTCCTTTTTTCTGGCAGTCTTTTGGTTTGAACTCAGGGCTTCACACTTGCTAGGCAGGTGCTCTGCCACTTGAGCCACTCCTCCAGCCCTTTTATGCTCTGGTTATTTTGGAGGCAGGGTCCTGCTTTTTGCCCAGGCAGACCTGGGCTCGATCCTCCTACTTTATGCTTCCCACTGTCACTGGGATGACAGGCGTGCACCTCCATGTGCAGCTTTTTTCTTTATTGGATGGGTTGTCACAAACATTTTCTGCGTGGCTGGCCTGGAAACTGCAATCTTCCCAATCTCAGCAGTCCCCAACCCCAAGTATCTTGGGATGACAAATGCATACCACTGCTCCCAGCTATTGGTTGAGATGGGGTCTTACATGCTCACTGCCCAGGCTGACCTTAATCAAGATCCTCCTGATCTCAGCCTTCTATTTTGGAGCTAGGATTACAGGGATGAGCCACCGGTGCCTGGGCAAAGTCCCAAATTCTTGGCATACTTTATAAGGCCCTGTGTTATCTGTCCCTACCAGCACAGGCCAGTTCTTGCTCTCTTTGGACAGTGAGGAGAGTTCATTCAGTCTCTCTCTCCCTAACACACACACACACACACACACACACACACACACACACACCAGACACACGTACCACAGACAAAGCAGGTACACCCTCACATGCACGCATACTTGCTAGCTACAGTCTCTTCTTTGGGGTTCACGCTGGCTCATGCCCCAGAGCAGTTTGTATCTCTCCATTGCAGACCACAGGAAAAGACCCATGTCCCATTTCCCTTACAAAGTCCTACCTCGAAAACCCAAAGCAGAGCTCGCCATTCCCACAGATCAAGTGGTGAGAGGGCCAGAGAGAGCTGCATCCTTTTCCCCACCCTACTTCTGCTGCCCAGCTCACGGAAAGCCAGCTCTGCAGCACTGGCGGGTAGAGGACAGTCCCAGGGTGACTGTTCCTCTATGTTTTTAGAGGTATCCTATTATGGCAAAGAACTTCTCAAGAAAGAAAAAAAATCACTTAAAATGTGAAATAAAATAATCTTGGAATATTCTCGTACATCAAAATTATGTCAATAAATGGTCTGGCACATTGGCTCACACCTATAATCCTAGCTACTTGGGAGGCAGACATCAGGAGGATTGCATTGCAAAGCCAACCTGGGCAAACACTCAAGACTCTATCTAAAAATAACTTAAAGATAAAAAAAAATAGTTGGAGACATAGCTCAAGCAGTGGAGTGCCTGCCTAGCAAGAACAAAGCCCTGAGTTCAAACCCAGTACACATATATATGTACACAAGTATCCATATCCATCCACCCATCCATACACAGACGTGTCATATAGGTCTACCATGTAGCAAAACCCAAATGTGTTCCTTAAAATATGCTCTTTATATCGCTGAGGTTTGTTCCTACTGTCTGTTCCATGATCCACGCAACTAGCTCATGGAACAGATGCAATCTGACGTGCGAGAGGCCTGCACGTGCTCAGTGGGAGCAGCTCAACTCGCACAGCCTGTGTCCCCTTGGGCAGTTCTCATACCAGACGGCAATGTAATCGTTCACAGCTTCCGTCTGCAGCAGAGAGAAGTTGATATACACTCCGTGCCCCAGAGGAACCGTGATGAGCCAAACGCAGTCCTTCAGAATCGGGTACTCGTCTGGGAACCCAGGGGAGTAGATGGTGCCATTCTGGGATGTCACATTGTACCCACAAGGAGCTGAAACGTAAGGGATTCAAAATAAGCATAAGTGGTTCGTTTTAAAAGTATGTAAATATTTCAGTTTCCAAAGTTTCTTAGCCAACATTTTTTCCTTATAAGAAATAATTGTGAGATTTTTCTCAGTGACTACTTTGCCAAAGTTCTTCCTCTAAAACCTGGACCCTTCAGGAGAATTAGACTTCCAAGTTATCTCAGGCTTACTTGCTGTTCTCAGTTTCCAGAGTCCCTTCAGGAAAGGGGTCATTCCCATGTGATTAAAAATCTTCCCTCACTTACAACCTGCTACTGAGCTGATAATCCATCAGGCCGTCTGATGCAATGCAGTGGGTTTTGGGGAAATTATACAGAAATTTATAACTGAATATTTTTGTCCTAAGTCTCTTTTCTAAAGCCTATTGAAACTGTCTACAAGGGTGACACTTAAGCTTATTTGCCTGGAAACAAACACATTATCAATTCTTTGCAAATCTATACCTGAAGAAGCCAGATAAACTTCTGTAAGTGGTATTTGAATAGAAGCACTTCCATATCTGTGCATACTCAATTATTTGAGAATCACGATACCTGGGCTATTTTTATTGTACTTGGAAAATTGACATTTATTGTTCCCATAGTAATTATTTTACTTGTAGGAAAGTGATATGACCACATATTAGTAGAAAGATCTGAATTCAAATGAGGATAGTTTGTCAAAGTCACAGAGAAGAAGACTTGGCGATCACACCCAGAGCCATCAGACGTGGTGTGTGCGTCACCAGCAGCGATCTTCCCGTCAGATATGTGCCATAAAAGCCTTAGAATTTAGGTGTGGTGAAGAGGTCAAAATACATAAAAAAGTAAACACAAAGAAAACGCTAATCATGATCAAACTGATGGCTGCTGACGTGCCATGAGGCGGAAGACGGCTCATGGCTGCTAATCACAGGACTCCATGCTGATTCCGGGGGAGGCCGAGAGGGCTCCAGGGTCCCACAGCCTGAATCGGCCCAAGATTTGGATCGACCCATGAGAAGAAGGTCTGCGGAGAACGTCGGAGAGGTTTGACAGTGGATTTAAGTGGGTTTTTGAGTCACACAATCCTGTTTTGCAACCTAGCAAAGCAAAGGTCACCTGCAGCCTCATGTCTGTGACCTCACGAAGGTCAGGGTGGAACAGAATGAGCCTCAGGGCCTCAGGCTGGAAGTGTCCTAATAGATTCTCTTTGTCCCCAAAGACTCCATGCACCCAAGTGCTTGTCCTGCGCCTCTCTGCTGCCCCACCGCTGGGTGGACGTGTCATTTTCTTCCAAACCCAGCTCAGATGCCACCACCGCCTTATTGTCTCTCTGTGGCTTAGTCACCCTTACGGTGCAGCTGCACTTGGCCACCAACTGTCCTTCCTCATCAGACAGCAACCGCCACCCGAGGGTGGAGAGCTGTCCTTACCCCACAGTCTCCATCACAGCAACCGTGGACAAAAGCAAACTGGTGACTGAAGAACGAGAGAGCGAGCAGCAAGTGCTCTAATACTAAACATGGAGCAACGGCCCCATGTTGACCCGCAACTTGGCGTTATTCACGCAGTGCGGACTCATGCCTAAGATGTCCTTTGCACATTTTTACTTTTCCAGGTGAATCTTGTCATTATGTGACCACAATAAATACGGTAGCACCTTTCCCACTAGGAAAATAGACCAGAGCAAATAAAAAAGCATGGTTTCCTCTTCTTCACAAACACAAGGAACGAGGTGGTGATTTCCACGGCAGGACATGTCCCCAACATCTGAGATCGCTGCGAGAGCTCTGTGGCCTTGACCACGGCGCGCTTTCACTCTCCATTTGTGTATGATATGCAAGCAGCACATCCTTCTGCATTTACTCAGTCAGCAAGCATTTAATAGGAGTCCTTCACATCCCGAGGACCCTGCTTAGGGCTGAACTAACGACCTGATCCCAGAGACCGAAGTTGTCTTTGTGCGGCTTCCTGGATGGTGACAGGACACAAACGAAGTCTAAGTGTAAAATTAAACTGGAGCACATGCTGTGATCATCCTGGTCAGCCCGGATGGAGATCTACCTAAGTACCACCTCCCATGGAGCTGGGATCACAGGCACACAGTACCACACCCCACTTATCCGCCGAGATGAGGCCTCCCTAACTTGTTCCTGGGCTGGCCTCGAACAGCTGTCTTCCTGTCTGCTTTCCCAGTAGCTGGGATTACAAACACCTACCACTGCACCTGACCTCAGACTTGTATCACGTAGTCGCTTTTCTTCTGAACTAGTAAGAAAGATTCATTTCCATATTTTTCAATCAGTTTTGCAAACCTTATTTAAAAAAAATACTTTAAAAAGTGTGAACCCAACAACGCATTGCTTAGCTGATTAATTTTCTCATGTCAGTTATGTCACGAAATTGCATTTCACTTAAAAAATCTGTTAACCTCGAAGAAGCTAACACACTGATTGCAACTCATTCGTTTCCTAATAAGTGGGTTTGTCTGCATAGCTCCCACGCCACTCACAGTCATGCATGTTGAAGTTAAGTCTGTCATGACAAGTGTAATAGTGATTATTATTTATTTTAAAAATACTTTAAGATAATATCTACGTAAAGCCAGGTATGATGGTTCACACCTCTAATCCCAGTTCTCAGGAGGCAGAAAAAGAAGGATCAAGAGTTCAAGGTCAGCCCGGGCTGTGGAGCAAGACCCTGTCTCAAAAAAACAATGGATGGAAATATGGCCCAGTTGTAGAGAGCCTGCCTTGCCTGTGCAAGGCCTGGGTTCAATCCTACCACATACAACAAAAGGAATATCTAGAGAAATATTTCAGTCATAGAGAATTAATAGGTCAATAAAATATTTTAAACTTTTGCACTATATTGTAAGTATAGCTGCACATGTAATTATCAGATTACACAGCCAATTGATAAACCATAGGCTTTTAAAGAATATTTTGGTAATTGTAACCCATTTTAACTGAGATTTCTGTATTGCTATGTTACTAGCAAAAAATTATGTTTTGAACTTCCCATTCCTCTGAGACATATTTTTCATTTATTTCTTTTGTTATATGCTTTAGATCACAGGTTTTGTTCAGATAAGCTTGGAATACACTCATTGTACATAGCAGATTCTTATGTAACTTAACGTAGAAATATTTTTAGCAGTTATTAACACAAACTGACAAGCTACTGGTGAAGGTTGGTACTTTAAGTACAGAATTCTTTTTTTTTTTTTTTTTGCAGTACTGAGGCTTAAACTCAGGGCCTATACCTTGAGCCACTCCCCCAGTCCTTTCATTTGTCGTGATGGGTTTTTTTGAGATAGGGTCTCACAAACTATTTGCCTGGGCTGGCTTCAAACCACGATCTTCCTGATCTCTGCCTCCTGAGTAGCTAGGATTACAGGCATGAGGCACTGGCACCCAGCTAAGATACAGAATTCCTGAATATTAATTATCTGAACTGGACAGTTTTTAATACAGACACCCAAAAGTTGCTCCAAATATCTGGGTTTTCTTCTGAAGCTTTTTAGAGCCACAAAAGACAGCTCTCAGTCCACATGCCCTGCCCTGCCACAGGAGTCTGGCTGAAGTGATCACCGGACAACCCCTTCATTAACTGTGGTGTGACGAGAGACAGCTCAGGAGAGGGCTCTGTGGTAGACTGCCACAAACGGTGCTGTGGCCTTCATGGAAAGCTGGACTGTGACCAACCCAAAACAGTGGACATCATCCTTAAGAAGCAAGGACTTTTTTTCCATTTTTTGGACTGTATCTTTCACAGGAAAAGTAAGTTTTGTGTTAATGCCTAATTTTAAAAGACTGAAGATATTAGCCGTACATCAAATGTGCCTCAGGAAATCCTTTACGCTGTCCAATGTCCAATTGCTTTCAACATTTATATGCTATAACTTTACATGAATCTGACATTTTGGTTTTTTGTTACATTAATGGTAGGAAAAAAAAAGCCTATAATGCTAAATACTTCTTTTTAGCAATGGATTTGGCCAAAGAAAGGTCTGCCCTTGTCCTTGCCTCTGGAATTTTGAATCGCCTGCAGGGCATCTCTATAGGGTGACCTGGTCCCACCTGGGAATCTAGGGTGGGCTCTGGCTAGGCCAGAGAAAATACCCAAGGATTTAAGCCAGGGCCAGTATCAGCTGACCCTGTGGACAGTTAGTCAGTCAGTCACATCTGGGTAATGGAACCCCAACAGAAACTCCTCATACTGAGGCTCAGGTGGCCTTCCCAGTAGGGGAACCAAGTGTCCTCCTACCTTGGGCATTTCAGGATATCTTCCCCATTATCAACTGTGATGACAGGTGAAACAGATTTTCCTAAGTGAGAGCCTCAAGGAAGGGTCAAGCCCAGGCTGACTTTGGAGCTCAAGGGCGTTAGCTTAATGATTTGTCAAACTGTGGGTGGTGTCGCCCACTGTCGCTCACCATGGCGGGATTAGAACCCATGATTAGAATCATCTCCGAATGATTCCAAGGAAACACAGTTGGATGCTGGCGACATAATTCTCAGCCAGAACAGTTATTTGAATATTAGGAAATTGACCTTAAAAGTAATTGAACTGAACATTAAATTCTCCTTTTTTATATCAAACCAAGGACTGCCTTTTACCTATGAAATCAAGGGACTTGGGCTAAAATTGCAAAGAAAAGGTTTCAGTCTTGAGAGTTTCAAAATGCTGGTGTTTGAACTCAGGTCCTGCAAAGCACACGCTCCACACCAAGCTACTCCCAGTCCTAAATAGGAGCTTTTAAGTGGAGGGTAGTATCAAGGATTTCTTAAATATTTTAATGGGAAAATAATCCAGACACATTACTGATAGACTTAATATTATAAAATTAATTTTAAATGCTATTTTATATGTAATTAAGTAAATAGTAGACCAAGATAAGGAATTTTGAAAATACAACTAAAGGGTTATATTTTTCATAGTTGTTCTTGAAATGATATAGAATGGAAACTTTTTTTTTTTAACTTCTTCAGTAGAAATTCTAACCCAGCTAGATGTCTTTCTGTTTTGCCATGGGATATAAACACTTAACATTTCAAAGGTTCACAGAGTTGGCAATTTCATCATTTTTTCCACTCAAAAGTACTGTATTTCAAGTGCCAGCACACCGACTGCACAGTAATATTTCTGTTTCATATGCATTCCTCATAAATGTGTTTATCTTAATTTGGTTTGCACAAATTTCTAAGTCATCATACAACCTAGGAGGCCACACAGAGGCTTGACAGTGGCGATTCCAGCTGAGAGAAGCCAGGTCTGTGGGTGGTTCTGCCTCCCCTGCATCCCGGTACCCTTGAAATACAAAACTTTAGCCTGCCTAAGACTTCCCGCTCTCTGCCCTGCTCCCCCTGCCTCTTCTGCCTGGAGTCCTCTCTCTCGGAGCAGCAAACGCTGTGTGCCCTTCCAGGCCCCCTACTAAGAGAAACTCAGTTTTCTGAAACACAAATGGAGTAAGTGCTTGGTGTAAAAGTTCAACAAACAAACAAAAGCCCCCAGGGCAAAATCAATAAACGCTGATCTCAGGCTTTGATGCAGTCACTGCAAAGCTAGGTGCTGCGTGTCACACCCATCTTCTGTACCTGCAAGCTGTCATCGCGGTCACTGCATGCCCCTGCATCCCCTTTGATCACAATTACTTGTGTTCATTGTCTTGTGATCCTTACACTTTCCTCGAGAGAAAGGGCTGCTATCGCTAACTTTCTGTTACGTGATATGCTCCTGACACTAAGTGGAGTGTCACGTAGCACCAGAGGTTCCCATGTGCGTTATGGGATACGCTCATGCCACTTCACCCACCGTGACATGGAAGACAACCAGCCTACCGTCACACTGTGGGAAAGGGAAGTTCCAGTTTCTGTCGGTGCCATGCTTGCACGTGAGCACAGGGTGGCCAAGCAAGATGTACCCCGGGTAGCACTCGAAGGAGATGGACTGCCCCACGCTGTAGTCCGAGTTGATCACGTACCCGTTCTGGAACGGGGGCGGGTCTGGGCAGTTCTGTAACTCATAGGCTGAAACGACAAGCAGACAGCGTCAGGTCCTTCAGGAGACGTCAGGGGACAGGGCAGGCAAGGGGGTGATGGCAGACAGCTCAGCTTCTGAAGACAAGCTTTAGCAATGTCTTTTCCAAGTAGTTGGGTTCCATACTGAACAAGTGAAATAATTACTACTAATAGAGAAATAACCACATGCATTTAATAAGCATTTAATGTGTACTTCATAAGAAATGCAGCAAGCTGGGTGCCGGTGGCTCACACCTGTAGGGAGAAATATAAGGTGGACATTTCAATTATATTTGTAGACAGGTGCCCTTCTTCACCAATGGAGCTGAGTGTGGAAAAACAAATGTGGGAAAATTCCATGGCTTATGACATACGCCAGTATTTTCTAGAACTCTAGTCTTCTGTTTTTATATTAAAAACTCCCTGAAATAAAGAGGGGTGGAAGGTCATGAGTAAAGCAGCCCAAGTGTCAACAGAGCAGGGCGGGAAGAAGTGGAGGGCATGTGGAGAGCACAAAGTGAGGCCACCGCGAGGAGCCAGTTAGGACTGGGGCGCAGATACCAGAGCTGACTTAAGAAATAGGCAGGATGCCAAGCAGAAGTAAGCCGTGTTTCATGTTAAAGGGTCTGGATGATCCTATAAGGACAAGGTGGGGACCCCATGGCGAGGGGCCAGTCGGGCAGACCCTAGGGACCAGTGAACTTGTTAAGTGAAGTCTGTTGTGGTTAGCATTTGCATCAGGAAGCTTTGTGAATTCCTGCTTAACACACCAGTGACGTGGTCCTACCTCCTCTGTTCCACAGCTGTGTGCAGTCACGGTGGGTCATAGGATAGCCTCGTTTGTGGCATTCTGATTGACCATTACCCTTTACGAGAGCACTTTGAACAGTGCCACAGGAAAACTGCTTTAATAACTTCACCTAGCAATCTACAAAGAGAGTAATTTCAAATAGATTATTTAAATGTTTAAATATGTATTTGCAGCATTAGTTACACCAAAGTAATCCAAATGTCTAAGCGAATAAATTCTGTCATATATTCTTATAGACTGAAATGTTATATCTTCCAGTAGACGGACGGTCAGTCAGACAGATACACAGACACACGCACACACACTGCGGTTCAGCATGAGGTTTTCAGCTTCACAATTGTGTAAAAGCAATGGCACCCTTTGCATTTTTAATCTGGGTCTTCTTCTAGACTAGGATTCTTTGTCAGGATGCTGGCCAGTGGCAGTGATCTCGGTCCCCAGCCGGCTCTGCGGTCACAACAGGGAGCAACTGAAACTACTGTGTGCTATCTCACTAAACTGTGAACCTCCACAGATTAGGGACACCAAATAGATTTTTGAGGTGACATTTTCACATTATGATAGCCTTTATGGGATGTGAACCCATTACAAGCTAAGGAGCGCCTGCATACATACACACATGTATGAATGTGGGCTTATTTATTTATACCTCCAATGTCAAGAAGACACTGTGCAGCTACAGGACGAATGTTGTGGTTACACCTGACTGTAGCTGACAGGCTAAAAGACCTGAAATTCACCATTCTGCCTCCCTTGGTTTCAATAATTACTTTATATGCAACTTTGCAATTTCTGTGAGAGAGTCATAAGCAGCTAGGAGGGACTGAGAGCAAGGAACATGAAACAGAAGACATCAGAGCCAAGCATATCTCAAGAGAACCATGACCTCGCCACCTGCAAGGAAGAAGGGAGTTAGACAGGTTGGTCTTCAGGGTGGAGAAGGGAACAGGTCAGCTAGAGGAAGGCAACTGCCAGGCTCCCACAGCCAGAACTGCACCCTGAGGCCTGCAACCAGTTGGGCCTTGGGCGAGTTGAGTTCTCTAAGTGACCCAGGTGATAACTCTGTATCTACTTCCTCAAGACGAAGTCTATAAACCGGACTGGAGTGAAAATCAGGTAAGCTCGTGTATATGACGCCATAGTACGCTAGAAGTGAGCAATCTTGTGCTATTTGTAGCACCCCTGGATTTTGTACAGCACTTCATGTGTGATACATCGATGACATAAACACTGAAACTGAGTGTTCTCACTAACACAGTGCTTTCTTTTATAGCTAGCCTTTAGCATTCTATAGGGAAATACAAGTTATTCACAGAAAATCAAAGAAGATTGGCCCACTATAGGGTGAATGTTCTCACCCCATAAAGGTATGCAACCATGACTTGCCATTTTATATAATATTAATTAAAATTGAGTTACAAAAGAGTGTTTTCGTGTGCTTTTTGTAAGGGTAGATAATGGCCCTACTGAGACAGCGAGAAAGAGACACTCTTGAAAGTATTTGTCCCACATCAGTAAGCATTGTGAGCACACTTGCTACTAATGAAATTCGAAGTACACAGGATCATTTGGAAAACAGAAAGTGTCTTTAACTCACAATTTCGTGAAATGGGGTTGCAGTCTGGCATAGAGATCACAGCTGAAAGGTCTAGAAAAATGATTTTCAGTGTTTTTTCCATCTTAAAAGTAGAATATTTGGTGGTTGAAATCTACGGAATATCAAACTTCAACACACAAGTTCTATAGCTACCAGAAGGTAAGAGAATTCACCTCCACAAGAAACAAGAATGTCTTCACATACCAAACCATAGATGCTAGAGGGCCTGCGCCCACTCCCGAATTGATTGCTTAGGTTAGGATTGTAGCACTGTATGTGCAACACAGAGGGTCAGACAACTGCTGATATGGATGGAAATCACGCAGGAACTCCATTTGTACAACTAACATATGCTAATCAGATATATAAAGAAAACTATGCTAATAAATGTAGGCACAAGAATATTAGCACAGAACCCAAGTCAAACCACTTTGTCTCTAACACACACACGTGCACACACACACATATACACATGCACACCCCTTATCTCCATTCTTTACCATGTTACCCCTGGGCCATCCTAGCAAGTCATCCTTCAGGGTCACTTCTGCCCTCTCAGAGGCCTTCCCATGCTGTCGACCACTAAAACAGCCCTTTCCTGACAGCCAGGGGTGAGTGTCCCAGGGACATCTGTGGTGTGTGGCTCCCTGCAGGCTGCTGCTTGAATCTGAACTGGCTCTGCAGAGCCATGCTCACACAAGCACTGGAGAATCTGTGCCACGTCTCAATGTAAACAAGGCTCATTCTGCATTATAATCAGCTCTCACAGAGAAATGAGTTCTCCAATGCACCAAATATGATTGGTAATAGAAACTTTAAGGAAAGAGGAAATAAAAAGCTGTTTGCCAGTTTCTGGGGAAGGAGAATCAAATAAAACTATATTCATCATAATCTAATCTTCATTGTGAAATTAATTTGTCATTTAGCAGAGCCTGGGATGTATTGTAAAAGGGTCAATTATTACAATATAAAATAAACAAGGTTGTGGTGAATAGCTATTCCTGGTGAACTCCCACCTAGCAGCATTTACCACAAACACACATTCCGACACTAGTGTACATGTACTTAATGTGACTGTGCAGTTTGCTGGGTAATGCAGAACTACAATCAGGTTCTCCTAAGGTGGATGAACCGGAACTGAAGGCACCGGCCCACTTCCACTCATGCAGTCATCCTCTGAGACAGGGCTGGAAATGGGAAATTAAAGTTGCCTTTCAGCGTGTTGTCAAGTTTCCGTGCACACCAGCTGTTGGTTCTCCTAATAATTGCATCTGAGCTGCTTACAATGACCCACAGAATTTCTCCAAGCGCACATATGTCAGACACCAGTTTCCCAAAGTGTCCATTGCCCATGGCTAGGATGGTTGTAACCAAAGACCTCATCCTGATTCTCAGTTTTGTTTTGAGAAATATTCCTGTGTGTATGTTTCCATCCGTTATATGAATTCCTGGTTCCAATTCCTACTGAGGAAGTCAAATCGAATCACAGCTAAGGTGTCAGCCCATTCCTGACTTTTGGTGCTGCCAAGGCCTTCTTGGTGACATCTCTCAAATCACTGCTGAAGGTTAGGACCACAGTTCCATCACCTGCTTCGAATAACTAAGGAATAAGTTAACAGCCTTTGTGTTGTGAAAATAAAGTGAGGTTGACCAAAAGGGACCTTCCATGCTTTTGTTTCAGAGAAATCAAAAAAGAAAAGAGGGAGAAGCTGGTTGAAATAATCACTTCTACTTTTGCAAATGCATAAAAGGCAAAACAAATGCAGGGGTCTTCAGGGAAGGAAGTGACCAAAGACCAAGGTCTGACCCTCACCCCCTCACTAAGAACTCAGCTGTCACCCACGGGAACACTACTTGGTTGGTACTTCTTCCATTTTGAGAAAAGACGCTTGGCAGGGGTGGAGTTTAATACTATTTGTTGACCACAGTTGGAAGCATTTTAGGTGAAATCACTTCTTTGTGTTGAGAGCTTGACCAACTCATCCATTTGGGGGAAAGAAGTCTGGGTAAGCTCTTGCCAGTGTTCCCCCAGTTAACTCGAAGCTGCTCAGAATACCATATTGAAAAAACAAGTAAGAATGGTACAGTTTCAGAAACACATCGATTTCAGGTACAAATTACAATTCTGAGTCTAAGGAACAACTAGAGTCATGTGAAATATGTAGGATGAAGTTTTCACTCGCAGTTGAATAACTGTTGCCCACAAACTACAGTATGCGTCCTCATGAGCTTCACATAGAAGTCACACTTCTGTGACTCCATGATTTAACATAGCCTATTATCTTTAAAATGTCTATTGAGCATAAAAATAGCGAAAGAAAGGAGAAAAACAGCGAGTCTTTGAAAAAGGAAGACTAAAATTATCTTTATAGCTTAAAGTTAAAGTTATCTTGATTTTAAATCATCTTTGAGATTTTTAGCACTGAACCACTCTCATTCCCAAGGGAGCACATGCTTTATAATTTATAATGCAAGACAGAAAGAGAGAGAGAAGCTGGAAGACAGACACTGACTCCACATCTCCGAGAGCCAAATTGCAAACATCAAGTGAAAAGAAACTTACTAAAATTCTTAATATGCCAAAACCTCTTACACATTACC